TGCTATGTCATTGAACTTACGATTGGTTCTGTTCAACCTGAACCTTTTAGATTAAAAGGCATGTCTCCATATCTCTTCAGTTTAATGTTAACTCTTGCACAAGTTATGTCAATTAGAACGCAATCAGCTATAAAGGACATATTCCTTGACACCTTACCTTGAAGTACTCCTATAGATAGACCCTTAGATACATTGTACTAATAGCAAGGGGCTTTGGATTTTGAAATAATGGGTGCTTAGTTATTTTTAAATCTTGAAAACTTCTATGGAGACTAAGTGCTTAGTTAATATATTTGTATGAATAACTCAATTTTTTCTATTTAAGTAGTAGTGTTTGAGTTCAAAATTACAATTGTGTGCTATTGCGACTAATTAAGTGCTTAGTTAACAAAGAGATTGTGTTAATGAAGGCACACCTTTTTTATTCTTGGATAATTCCCTCTCAACGGAGTTAGGCACAAACGTCATAGTGTCAGTGTTTGACTTGAAAAAGCACAAATATGCGTCCTTTCATCTAAAAGAAAATTGGTTTACTATGATCAACAAACATAAACGTGAATAATGACTTGATTACCATTTATTAGAGATGACTATTTGAGGTGTGTTGGCAAGATATGAAAAGATAGAATATTAGTTGAAAATTGTGGCATCAAATATTCAGCTCATTCTTTTCTAGGCATCTAGGCGAATACGCTGCATTAATTAACTCAACATAAATAAAGCTTATTAACTCAACATAAAGAAAGAAATTAGTGATGGAATGTGAGAACATTGGAATGTAACTCAAGAGTAAGGCCACTAAAGCATCTACTTTAACCCCAAAGGTTAAAGATCTCTGCAAATTTTGCGTTTATTATATAACTAGTCATTCACGAGAACATGATTCTCAAAAATCTACTTAGTATATATAGATAATAACTTTTAAATTGTTTGATTCAAAGTTCTGCAATTAATAAAAACTTATAAATTTGAAAAGAAAAAAAAGTTAACTGCATTTCTAGTATCATGCCTCAGTATTTATTAGGAACTAATTACCACGAATAAAGTAACAGCTAGAGAGTAACGTAAAGTTATAAAGCGAAAGTAGAAAATTGAGTTATCAACCTCAAAATTCCTTGTACAGATGGATGAAATTAAAAAAAGTAGGATGTTCTTCTAAGGTAACCTAGAGTTTATAACTTTTGCTTGCGTTTATAGGATCTTGTTGATGTTGTTGACACTGTCATGTGATGCTATTTTGTCAAGTCACATCGATTGGTGCCTGGAACAAATTCCGTAGTCATATTACCATTACAACTAGTTTGCATTCCTAGCTATATTTGCAAAACAATGATCCAACACATCCTCTTCTTCACCTTCCTCAAATCTATGAAAGGTTTAATTAGAGATAACCATTTTAGATTGATCTCGTACACAATATTAATTGAAAGATCATCAAAAGTTTTCAGACACGGAACCTCCTTTTGAACAATTGCTTGAGCACTTTAGTTCGTAGTTTGACCGTCTACAATTTGCTGCATTGTGTTACGAATTGGTGGACCAAATCACATGACTAGTTGTTGCACCTGATACCTTTGCATCTAATATCTCCCTCGCATCACCTTGATATTTTTCAATATAAGTTCCATCTTTCAATAGCAATCAACATTCACTTTTTTTCATAACAATGGAAGACTTTACTTCGCCATTCAAGTCGTCCTAGTAACAGAGAAACCAATTAGTGAAAGAGCCTTTAAAGGATGACTTATATCTTTGCGTCTAAAAAAGTTAAAAGAGTGAAATATATTAATGATTCCTGCTGATAACATTGTGATTGTGTAGCTTAGGAAGCTAATGTAGTAGCAACTGCTGTATTGATATTTCTAATCTTGCTTTTGTTTTAACTCGTTTACGTTTATAGTGGTCACAAATGTAACCTTTGATTCACCATACGCAGGTTTCCACCTTTGCTTCACACCACAACTATGGAGCAGATAATTAAGGAGTTTAGCAATGACATTCTACTTCCTGAGGTCTTTGTTCCGTATTCTACAAGTTCTTCGGAGTTTATGTTGGGCCCGTGCTTCAAGGATGGATTTCCTTCGGAGCTCGAGTCATTTTATCCCCTAGCAGAAGGGGAGAAGCTACTTCTACACACACTGCAACCTGGTTGGCAGGAAAAAAACACGTGGAACTCATGGCCAACTGCAACGGAAGGATGGATCCGTTGGGTCGACCGAATGGAGAGGGTTAAGGGGGAGACCTGGCGGACGGCGGACATATATGATACAATACAATTATCCAAATTCAACATACAATGTGACCGCAATTTGTTGTATGCTGCACTGTGCTTTTGGTCTACATCAGGTAATGCATTCCATTTCAATTTTGGGATGATGAGTCCAACGGTGTTCGACATTTCTGCTTTGACAGGAATTAGGCCTCATGGTGAGGCAATTAGCTCAGTCCTGGACATCCAGCGTCAAAAGTGGGGCAAGAGTAAGAAAACATCCTATGAGAAGTTCATCAAACTGAACATGCAAAGAGAGGACGTAACTGAGGAGGAACATTTGGCGTTCCTCAATATGTGGCTCTGCAAATTTGTATTTTGCATTGGTTCGCGTATAGTAGCGGAGGAGTATGATCGACTAGCCATAGCTCTTGCTTCAGGCAGAAAGGTTGCTTTGGCTCCTTTCATACTATCTCATCTATACCGAGGTTGTAGAAGCGTAGTCACCCGGGGATTTAGTAATGCAGGGGGGCCCTTCTGGATCCTACAGCTCTGGCTGCAGTCTTACTTTCCACAGTATAGACCGTTGCCTTACGATACAAAGAACTGTATGACTTTTGGGATTGCCCTGGCTCAAGGGAATTTAAAACAGAACAGCTTCCGAGAGTGCTTTACCTTCTTCTACTCATGCTCCTCCGTATCTCCGAGCCAGTTCATTCCGTATTCACCAGGATGGCTGCAATTGGCGGAGCATATTCCATCTAGTAAGGCAGCTCTAGACGCTATCTGGTCCAGCTTCCTTATTCCACGAGACCTCCAGTATGGTCTCGCTTTAGGGAACTCAAGTGTTGGAAAAGCTGGAGTGGAGTATTACTCACCAAATCAGTTTGCACGGCAGTTTGGCTTGACACAGACAGTTCCTCTACCTCCTCATCGGTCACTCAACGCTTCACCACTTGAAAGGGTTGTTTTCAATTCAGAAAGTGGCATTAGAGAAGTGGATACGAAGTTCGATCAACTGAAGAGAAATTTCTCACTTGTCGAATTTCGTCCTAATCCAATATGTACGCCATCATTTGAGTCGTGGTGGTCTACTTACATAAGTAGAACACGGACGGAATCAGCTGAGCAGATCCTAAATAGGATTATCGGCGAGGAAGAAATCAAGAAGAGAAGGAACAAAGGTATTGTATACGAAACTTTTACCCTTCATGACACTTGCTCATAAATCAATATTCTATATTTTTTTTGTAGGCTCTATTTCGCAGCAAGAAAAAGATAGCAGGCCTTCGAAAAATTCAAAGAGGGAACTGGTCTCTGGCTCGAAAAATGTAAGTTAAATACTTGAAGCCAAATTGTTCGTCTAGAAATGCTATTTTTGTCAGTTAGTATTACTCTCATTTCTTTCTTGTTTCAGGATATCGGACATTCTCCTGGTGTTCCTGGCTCAAGTCACTCGTATGTTAATCGTTATGAGAAGTCTGTCGCTGATGAAGTAAGTACACACTCATATGAAAACACATTGTTATAGAAAATATGTTTGTTTATTTGTTATAAATGACGTTAAGTTTTTAAATAATTTGCTAGGATGTTGCCCCTTTATCGTCCGATGTCAAGTCACCTGCAGCACAATACTCAGCAGAAGTACTTGAGAAAGCTAAAACTGAAGTTCAGAAGCTACTAATGATGCCTTTGGAACAAGTGCTTCTCCCGGACAACTACTCATATTTAGAGGCTGCTCTACCTATATATGCTGAGTCACCTGATCTCTCGATTGAGAAAACACGTAATTTGGAGGAACTCAGAAGAAATCTTCCATCTCTACTCGCAAATTTTCAGGAGGCAAAGAAGCAGAAGGAAGAGTATTACAAAGGGAGTGCCAGGAAGGTAATGTTGGTCGATGATATTATTAGAAAACAGGAGCTTCACACTGGAATCAAAGACTTTCTCGTTGGAATCGATGCTTCCATCCAAAATTTGAAGGAGATCGAAGCACAACAAATGAATTTAGCTACGGAAATTTCTCACTTGGAAGCTAAATTGGAAGAACTGAGAGCTGCATTTCCTGACTCAAAGAAAGACGCGGCTGATTCTCTCGCGACACAAGCAGAGCTAAGTTGGGCCGACTACAAACACAAAATATGTGTTTAGTAATCCGTATGTAAATGTGTTTTGTTATCTACTCAAACTTGCTATTATGGATGTTTTGAACTTTGAACATGAATTTGTTGTACTGGCAACTGTTGAGATATTGCAATTGGTTCTTCAACATCTGCAACTGCCGCTATATTCGGTATAACAAAAACAATTTTAGCGGCAATTAGTATGCATGCTAACAAAGACTAGGAAAGTCTTTACTAGCATTATTTAACTCTCATTAGATTCAATGTCACTACAAGTTTAGAAACATTTTATAAGGGTGTTAAAATATACTTTGCACTAGTAATTGCCTCGATATATATCTATATTCTACGGTAATGAAGTTATTACTGTCAATATATCACATTAGCCTATTTGAAAATCTATGAATCATTTGAATATGAGTCCATTAAGTCCTTCTTTCCTGCTAAATGCCAATGACCAATTTTATATTATTTTTTTTAATCTATGTGCTATAGGTAGATTTAATTTAGAAATTAGTCTTTTTTATCAAACTATGGGTCTATCGGCAGGGGTGGAGCTTAGATGTTCATCCGAACCCCTTCGACGAAAAATTACAATACTTTATTTTCTTCTATTTTGTACCACTAGACAGCGCGTATAATAGTTTTTTATTAAAATAAAAATTCTCAATAAAAATAAGTACAAGCAAGGGGGCTAGGCCTTAGCTTGTCAATCCTAATGATGCAACAAACTTCTACGTATTAACAAACATGAAAAAAAAAAGAGCTAGAGTAATCTATGTATTCTATGATCATCACAAAATTTGTATTACACTCTATGAAATTCCTAATCACCAAAATAGATGGTGAACTATAGTACATGAAAATCCGCAAAATGGGAGATTTAACTTTTTGGGGCTTGTTTGACCTTGTAAATGGACCGTTTTGGCCGTCAAGGATAACTGAATCCATAGCTAGGGTCTTAATGGACGTCCATGAATTTTTTTGGCAATTAGACGTCGAAACTGAAACTACATGGACTATGCACACGGAAATCAACAAAATGGGTGGTTTAGCTACTCTGTGGCTTATTTGACAAGAAAATAGGCCGTTTTAGCCGTTTGAGCCAACTGATTCCATAGCTAATATCTTATAAGACGTCAACAAAAAAATTGACAAAAATGACGTGAGAATTTAAAATCACCAAAAATCCATGGACTATAGCACATGAAAATCATCAAAATAGGGGATTTTCCTGTTTTGAGGCTCGTTTGACCTTGTTAATGGGTCGTTTGGACGTCAAGGCTAAATGGCTGCATAGCTAAGTTGTTAATGAACGTCCGCCAAAAAATTCAGCAAAAACGTCCTCGGAATTTCGGATCACCAAAAATCCATGGAGCAACGACAATTGGAAAAATGGGGGGGGGGGTTACCTTCTCCATAGCTCATTTGAACTTGAAAATTGGTCGTTTTGGCCATCAGAACAAATTTCTCCAGTGCAATATGTCCACGAAAAGATTTGACAAAAATGGCATCAAAATTCTGGATCACCAAAAATCCATTGACTATAGCACACGAAAAACATCAAAATGGGGGGTTTACTTGCTTTGAGGCTCTTTTGAACTTGAAAATGGGTCGATGTACTTTAGTAAACCTAGAAAATAAATTTTATTATGTCACATTAATTTCATTTGACCTTGGCACTTTTTCTCAATCCTCTCGTGTTAGGTTAGTAGATTTTAATCTTTCTTAAATTCTATGGGATCAATTAAAAATGTGTGTATTGATTAAATTGTTGAGATCTTAAATTTGCTATGTAATATGTTGGAATTGAAAATTTTGTTAAATCTACAATGAATTACACTCATGAACAGACCAAAAAAAAAGGTAAGACATCTGGGATAAACAGAGTATTGTTTAATCAAGTAAAAATAACATTTTGATCTTATGTGCAAATGGATCTCAAAGTTTTGTAAAATGATGTTAGCTTTGTAAAGGTTATGTTTTTTTTAAATCTATAGACCATAGGATACTATAAGAATAATAATATCTATTCTACAAGTGAGGTTTGGAGAGGATAGAAGTAGATACGTTTTGATAGACCATTGGCTCAAAGAAAAAGAAGAAATGAAACAAAATGAAACGCATAAGTGTGATGAAGTCATAGCGAAATACTAGAGAGAGAATGACAAAGCATATTAAAAAATAACATAACTTACAATAAATAATATGATAATTTAAGTGCAATAATACATCAGACTTTGAAGGACAACAAACCCCTTGAGTAATACTACGACTCTATTACCTACTGCCTTCCAACCATATGTGTGTGTGTGTCCTCCACAACCTCCTTTCTAAATGCATGTTGTCAATAATCTGAAATTGCATCGTGTTTTGTCCAATCAAGTCTCCACAATAATTATTTGGCATACTTCTATCATTTCTGAAACCATCTATAGTCAATTTCTCACACATCCACAGTGGAGCATTTGCGTATCTGCTCTTCAATTATCCGAAACATGTGTCTTATTCCTCCATCTCCTCTACCGAGACCACTCTCACCTTGTCCAAGATATATTCATTTCTAAAATTGTCACTCTTATTATGGCCACACATTCAACGAAACATCTTCATCTTCACAACTTTCATCTTTTGAATGTGAGATTTCTTGACTGGCCAACACTTGGACTCATACATTCTAGTAGATCTACCCACCATTTTAAAGAATTTGTGTTTAAGATTAGGTTACACCAGCTTATCACAAGACTTCATATGCAAGCTTCAGTCTCATCCAACTAGCACCAGTACGATGTATCGTTGTCAATCTCCATATCTTCTTGCTCTTTGGCCTGAAACCCCAATTACAATTGTGCGCTATTGCAACTAAGTGCTTAGTTAATAATAAGACTATGCTAACGAAGGCACACCTTATGTATTCTTGGATGATCCCCTCTCAGAAATTGATTAGACTAACTGTCATATCGCCATAATTATAATTGTGTGCTTGACTTGATTACCTCATTTATTCGATATGACTATTTAAGGTATCTTGGCAACATATGAAAAGATAGAATATTAGTGGAAAAGATGTAGCATCAAATTAGATAAAAAAAAATTAAGTAGCTTTACTTATTAGTCTAAATTATAGAAGTAAAATTGGAAATTAATAATGGAAAGTGAGGACATTGGAATGGAAAAAAATGTTTTATTGTTTGTAACTCAAGAGTTAGAAGGTCACAAAAGCATATACTTTAAGCACTCACAGGTTAAAAGACATCTAAAATTTTTGCATTTATTATATAACTAGTCATTCGCGAGTACATGTTTATAGTTTAAAACCTTCAATACAATACATTAGGTTTTATTGTACAAGTAAATGAGGGGGAGGGAGGGGGATGTTAGATCTTACCTTACTGATTCTAATGAGGTTAGGAACCTCTACTTTTAACAACCACGAAGAATATAAGTGCTACATAGAATTAGATATTCTATGACCATCATAAATAAATTTTATGGTGGCATTACATGAGGATGTGTAAGTAATACAATTGCAAAGTTATAAAACGAAAGAAGAAAATTGAGTCATCAACCTAAAACTTTCTTGTACAAAGCAATATTTTTTTTCTTGTCTTCTTCTTCTTCAAATCTGTCATGTGGTTTGCTTGCGTTTACTGGATCTTGTTGAAGTTGTTGATATTGTCCTGTGATTTTGTTTTATAAGACGCATCGATAGGTGCCTTGGAACAATTCCTCGGTTATCTTACCATTCTAAGTGGTCCTTCTTTCATTTTTTTTTTGTTAATGCATTGTTGCCTAAGAAAAATATCTACATTCCAAGCTGCATTTGCAAATATGTCCTCGTCTTGTATATAATCAAATCTATCAATGGGATGGAATTAATCATATTTGCAAACTGATTTCCCTTTAATGTATTAATTACTTACCTTCTTGATTAGCGATAACCATTTTAGAAGTAGTTAGACTGATCTCATACACAATATTATTCGAAAGATCCTCAAAAGTGTTAAAACGCGGAACATCCTTTGGAACAATTGCTTGAGCACTTGAGTTTGTAGTTTTACTGCTTACAGTTTGCTGCATTGTGCTACGAACCAAATCTTTACCCTTTCTTGTTACATTCCCAAAGAGGGAAAATTCATAAAGTTTGAATTATTTTTTTTAAATTACAAACATTTAGATTTTCTTTTGAAGTGTAAGAGATACATCAAAATCGTAAATCATGTGGGATTAAATTATACATGTGTGTTGAAGAATTACACTCATGAACATACCCCCAAAAAAAGTGAGACAGCATAGCTTTGCAAATGTTCTTTTTAATCTTAGACCTTCATATACGATTACAATATTCAGTGCAATTCTATAAGTGGAATTTGAAGATAATAAAGCGTATGCAAATGTTATCTTTTTTTCGGAGCTATAAAGTGGAGAGTATTTTCTGATAGATCATTGGCTCAAAAAAAGAGAGAGACCAAAATGAAATGAAACGAAAAATTGTGAAGAAGTCCTAGAAGAATACTGTAGAAAGATGGCAAAGCATATTGCATATTAAAGATTAATACAACAATATAATATGATTATTGAAGTGAAATAAAATAACTGACATCGAAAGACAAGAAATTCCCTTTGTAACACTACAACTACTAATATGAGAAAAAGAAGTGAGACAACACTCTATTATTTACTCATCTTGCACCCTAATCTGTGTTTGTGTGTCCTCCACAACATCCTATCTAATGGCATGTCCTCCGTAAGCTAAAATTGTGTTATGTTTTGTCTATTCATGTATTCACATACCTGGACCACTTCTGTCATGTTTTGTCTAATCATGCCTACACATATCGAACCACATGTCTTGTTTCCTCCGTCTTCTCCACCGAGACCACACTCATGCACATTGTCCCGAGGATTAATGTGTGCACCAAACTCACTTTGCATCTGATATCTCCCTCGTATCACCTTGATATTTTTCAATATTAGTTCCATCTTTCAATGCATCTTTTTGATTTTTTGTTGCACTCTTTATCAATA